ACGTTTCTTTTAAAAAGTTGAGAGTTATCCAGATGCTTTTAGCTGGAAAGGATTGTTTTGTCAATCTAATTATAATTATATATTGTTTCCAAACAAACGAACAGCTTAACAAATTTCCAACAATATTCCTTTATATTGTATATTATGCGTACAGCCTATTTTGTGAGGTACTGTGGTGATCTTAGCCTCAAAATTCATTGTAAATATATGTGAAGTGCAAAAAAGGCTTTAAGAAGTAGTAGTCTTCTAAAAACTCAATACTATATGGTTAATAAATTTCAATCTCTGGATACTTGCGTTAGCTATTAACTGCTCCAGTTACGGCTACAATATGACAAATAATCGGTATATTTTTGAAATGCAGACGACGATGATTTCTATTTTTTATATTAAATTTTAAACTTATTATGGAGTTATCTTATTATTTTGTAAATTTTCTTTGATTTAATTTATTTCTTTGTGTTGAAGCTTGTAAATTTGCGATGGAATTGCACGTGATTTGACCAAAATAAACTTTCTTATTTCGAAATTTGTTGCTTTTCGTCACCTTTTATAGCCTCTATTATTTTTGGAATGTTAGCAGTAAAGTTTTTGGATAGGGACAATGGCGTAATTAATGTTGTACTTGATGACATGACTAACACTTATGTGTCAGTGGCTACTTCAACGGCAATAAAAACCAAAGACTGTAATAAACGTTTATATGTAAGAATTATGGCTTTACGTGGTAGTTAGAATGCAGCATTTCCATTAAAGTAGGAAGAATAGCAAAATCTGAGAATTCGATTTTTTTCTATCTAGCATTAAAAGCAAATAACAATATTTCTTGAAATAACTTTTTAAAAGATTTGATCTCATCTACCCAAAAGTTGTTTGGAAGAAGCTACTTAGAAAAAGTTAAACCCATGATGTTATGCGACCGAAGTATTAAAATAAAATAAATATTTTTTTAAAAGATTTAAGTCGCTTTTTTTTAATGATATTCAAATTACATTTGGTTTGAGAAATATAATCGTTCCTAATATTTAAACAGCAATTCTGCAAGGAAGCATGGGCCAAACGCAACTCCCACCAATACTCCGTTGTCAGTAGTGAGCTGAAGTTGAGTCAACCTGAGTTAGTATTGCCGTAATAATAATTTCTCAATGGTCTTCAGTAGGTTCTGATGACATAAGCATAAACAATTTTGAAACAAAATTTTTAAATAGAATTTAAGAAAGTTCTTTCTGAAGTGCCCCTACCTTTTGCTTGAATGTGCATAAATACATAAATTAGATTAAACATAGTTGTACTTATATGGAGTAGATATACTTCACATCAGTGGGTATATCAGAGCGCACTGCGGATGATATAAACAGAGGGGAGGCACAAGTGCATGAGGTATTTTAACTTGTAGATTCTTTTGAATTAACAAGTGTGGCCTGCTACGTCTTGTCCCCTTAAATATTCTTCTTTCAGGATAGTCATCCTCACAAGATTCCTTTTATTATCAAACTGTATGCGAATGGTTGGATAAAAATTGTATGGTTGTTGAGATGTTACCTTAGCTTATCTCTCTGTTGTTGTTTCTTTGCCTCTCCTCCTGTATGTGTATGTGTATGTGTATGTGTATATTAACGCAACTAGCTATATATGTGTTTTTTGTTTTTGTTTTGTTGTTGCTTTTATTATGTTTTGTAAACATTTTCTTAATTTTCGAGCTTATCTCACATAATTTTTCACATTTTCTTTGGTTTTCCCTTGGAGCTGCCTTTGTCTGCTGGGCAATATGACCACATACATCTCACTAGTCAGTTTATTATTAAGTTTACTAGGTTATAGTGTGCATCAAAAGATATAAACTTTTTTAGAGTACAAGCTGGTTTCCATGCGGTTTAATGTATCTGTTTTTTGTTATTATACAAAAAGGTTGTATTAGTATACTCGTACGAATTTCCACTTCCATAATTAGGAAGGTTATAATTTCATAATTTTAATAGTGTGTTCTGCTGTTGCGCTGCTGTGGGCAAGAACCATTTTTTAGACTTTAACTTTTGCTTTAAGAATTCGGTTAAAAGGGTCGAGTTAATAATAACTTTAAGATTAAGATTTTGTTGGTAGTTAATTTATGTGGTGAATGTGTGCGAAGTTGGTATTTACGGTTATTTATGTGTTTTTAATGTTGGATGCTTGATTTAAGACGAGTTTGTGCAAATGAACATTTTAAAATTTGTGAGTATTTATAAAGTTCATTAAAAGTTGCCTTCACATTTCTATTATCAAATTTAATTAGATTTTCTGTTGCAAATGCAAGTAAATAGAAGTGCAGTTGTAAAATTGCCGCATTTTTCTGTAGTCTGTCTGCAGTTGCTGCAAAACAACAACAACCTGCTTTACAAAAACAACGTAGAAGAACGAGAACAAAAGTTTAAGCTCTTCAACCTTCGCTTCCCACATTAAAGCTCTCTAGCAACACCAACTAGAATTACAACTACAACAACAACAGCAACAACAGCAATAACAATAACACTAGGAGCAACAATAATAATATCAACAAAATGGCGTTAATATACATTACACACGTATGTGCAAACACCCACACATACTCGCACGTTAGTACTACATATCATTGTAAATAATATTTTTCATAATAGTAAATGAGTTTTATGTTGCTCTCGTACAGAGATAAGAGGAATAATCTAGCGCAAAGTGTTTTAGACAAATAGCAAGTCTTCCTGAAAGCACACGCACACTTGCATAGACTCTCGAGCTGTATCCGCGGAAAGTGTGTGTGTGTGTGTCGGTGTTATCTGTGTGGATTCGTTTATATATGCTACCACAAATATGAAAAATCTAGATATATGATTACCACTTAAGAACGTTATTAAAAGGCTGAGAATATACATAAGCAACTTGAAGTACTCGTCTCAGCACTTGTTTTCCAAACCGCTGCTGCCGCTCTGCTCTGCTAAACTAGAAGGCAGCATGCGTATGTTGGATGGCATTACCAACAAATACATTTGTGCGTGTCTCACATGCACACGTACAAGTGCCTAATCCAGTGTTCTTAAACGAATCATATTTTTTGCAAGTACAATTCCTAGAGTTAAGGTAGGGAAATTAATATAAGCCTGAGTGTGTATGTGTGTCTGTTTGTATGCTTTTGCGTGTGTGCAAATGTGCGACTCTATATATTGTGTACTGAAAGTACATTACATAAATATTTGCATTTTCATAGGAAAGGGAAGGGGAGCGTATGGCATGTATGATTATTAAAATTAATTTTAATTCAATTAAAACCGAAAGCTTCAAAACCAATTGAACTTACAATGATTCGTTTGCACAGGTGTGCACTTTTAATGATATTTTTTTATTTTTATAGAAAACCAAGCTACTTTATTTACAATAAAGTAATTTTGCTAAGAAAGCACATCAATAAGTGCGCTAAACATGTACGTATAAAGTAATTGTTAATGCTAGTAAAATTATTATTTGGAAAAATTAGATATGCATCCACTAACTTTCTTTGACTGATATCTTGCAAAACACTAAGTTCTGTGTCAATATTTGAAAATGTTTAATAATTAATTTTTCATGAAATTTATTAAATTTATAAAAGAAATTATGCATGTCATAATAAAACTACAACAAAAAAGCCTATATTTATTTTTGATTTTGATTTTGTTTTGCAGAGGATTTTATTAGAAAATTAATGGATTGAATTTGCGATATGCTCAGCGAAAATATCGCTTATTTGTTTGTCACATTTAAAATTGCCCGCGCAAATCGTTTTTGCACAAACTAAGGTTTAAGGGCCCATTAGACAGCAACGTTCGTTGTCAACGCGCGCTTGCCATTACACAAACAATTTTTAAAAAATTTTTTAAACACGCCCCAGATAAAACAACAAATATACTAAAAAATCGCTCTCACATGAGAATTTTTTTCTCCTACTTTTCTCCTACTTTGTGAAATGCGAAATTTGTTTGTGTAATAGTAACATTTGAAATTTTAAGAAATGTGATATTTCTTCAACCACGCTCGTGTTTTTGCATATACAGTCGGATTTGGTCGGCATGCAAAATTTTATTTATTTTGAGAAATGGAAGCGTAAACATCGTTTAAATGCACGCATGATTTGTCGTTAGCATGCGATGCTTTGCAAATATGAATAAATTTAATTTTAAATATTTGTATTTTCTACCTAGGTAAAAATTTTTAATTTCCAAAACATTTTATTAAGAAGAATTAAAATATTAATAACCTTGGGCTAAAAAAAATAACCAAACATTAAATTACAATAAAAATTTTGTTTTAAATATTAATTGCATTGTACACCTACGGAAAATTTAAAATAAAATAAAAATACAAAAAATACTAAAAAATACCAAAAAAAAAAATTAAATTATATAAAATATAATATATATAAAAATAAATATATAAATTGAAATCATAAAAATAAATATAAATATATAAATTAAAATTATAAATTAAATGTAAAACATCATTTTTCGCAAGGAAATTACGCATAGCAGCCGCTGTCGACACTTCAGCGATTGCTTTAATACTGATGAGTGAACAAATTTTGCATTCTTTGCTGGAGGCGTGTTTAAAAAATTGTTGGTAAATTTAATGTGTAATGGAGAGAGAAGACTTCGTGTGTTTGTCAACGCGCGTTGATGTCTAAAGGCCACTTAAGACGCGAATTATTTTTGACTATGCTAAGCATGCAGGCACACTGTGTTCCGCTGTCAAATTTCCTCTATGCTATATTCACAGCCATACACTCTCGCTCGCACACACTCACATTCTCCCATTCCTATATTCGCATATACATCCATGTCAGAATGGCAAATCCCTGCTAGGGGCAACCCTGTTTTAAATAGTTGCGTATTTGAATTTAAAATTTGAATTAATTACGCGCGCTCATTATGTTAATTAATTTTATGCCCAAAAATGTTTGTATGTGTAATTATGAATACATTTCCAACGCAAATGCGATGACGATGCATAAAACGTACCTTTGTTCTGCCTCTACTAAAGCCGCCGTCATCATGGGGACGAGGACGTTGACCCGGCTGCAAAATAAAATACGATTTAAATGAATATAGGGATAATTCAAAAAAATGTTCATTAATTATTAACTTCAAATTTAAATATTAATTGTTTTTACTAAAGAACTAAAAACCTTTGCTACTTTTATTTACAGTAAATATGTGACAAACACAACACAACTGCACTTAATTGCAGTTTGTCATAAAGGCAGCCAGATTTTCACAAAAATATCTTTTATTTGATATGACATATATTAAAAGCAGTTTTAAAATATTAAATTAATTAATTTTAAATAATGTGTGGATCGAAAAAGTATAATTTATTGTTCTAAGTTCACTATTTTGTTGAATTAAATCGGTTTGAAGTAATTTTCTTTTGAAATTGATTAGAAAATTATTTTCAAATACGGTCAAATACCAAGTCTTTGGAAATTAAATCGCAAAATTTTAATATAAAAAAAAAGAATCCTAAATGTTTACTTTCCTTAATAATAAAGAACACAATCTTGTACTTAACAAATAAAACCGTAATATTCAAACGATACAATGCATTTTTACGACTTTACTAACTTTAATAGTATCGTTAGAATAAATGTTTAATGTTTCTAAAGAATTGTTTAAACAAATTTTAAACAAATTTAAACTTCTCAACTTTTTGGGTTATTTCTTAGTAAAACGAAGTTATTTTATATATAATAGAAAAGCGGATCTGTAAATGAAGCTTAAATGCATAGCAACAGAATTTTAATACCCTAAAAAATTTTAGTAACTTCTTCGACAACAATTTAATATCGCTTCCTCTTTCCACTTCGAGTGAAACCCATAAATTGAAGGCAATAGTCTATAATTGAGTGATTAGATTGATTGCCGACTAATATGTCATGCGAATACTCGCATCTACTGTGCGCAAATAGTTGGCAGTCGAGTATCTTTAGGATAATTTTCAGATTTCTATAAAAGGAGGAACAGGAAGAAAAAAACAGACAACCAACTTGGCAGCATTGACGCAGATAATCTTTTAATGCCCGTCAGGCATAAACTCTAACACACAGCCAATATTTTTATCATTCTCGAGCGAAGAATAATGCTCGGGGTAGAGTTTGGTGGTGGTGGCAATACCAATACTTGAGAGTGAGTCTGTGATGAATTGAGTGGGTTGTACTTTTGTGTTTTATGCGAAACTGCAGGTAACTTTTGATACTAGAGTCATTTATTTGTCCCCAATTCTGTTTTTGTCCTCTAAAAATACGCTTTTTTTTAAGACGGTCCGAGTGAGACAGCTTTTTGCAACGCTGCTCGAAATAATCTTAAATATTTAGACAAAGCACTTGAGTCCTGTGGACAAGAACTGTCTGCCTGCTTCACTGTTGAGCCTACGTTGAAAATTAACAAAGGCGTTTCGTTGGGCAGAAATTGTTGGGAAAATGTTTGCAAAGAAATTGAATTAAAATGTACAATTGCTTCGTAATTTTAACTTAAAGACCAAACGAATTTACACAATTCGCTGAGTTTGGATTAAAATGAAAAATTGAAATTGTTATTACGTGCTTATTTACTTAATGAGTCTATGAAGCAACTTCAACTGCCGACAATCTCACTCCATCCTCAGTTGCCAACTGATGTATTTCCATATTCTGTAGCAAAAACCAATGTAAAATGGGTTAGAAGAATTTTGAGGTGGCACGACTTGGATTTGGATAATAATTAATTGCCTGCTTAAATGTGTTACATTGTTGGAATTTACTTAATGAATGTTTAAAGAATGAAGACATACGAACAGTTTAGTGCAGTAGGAGAGTATATGAAATCTGATATATTGGGTTGTGACGCAAGTCTTGATGAACAAATTGCTGGGGAAGGAGCTTTACAAGGAATTAAAAGCGAATAGAGTGTTATTAACTTTGTACTGTGCTACTTTGTGCTCTCGACTACAAGTGATCTGTTCATATCCATACACAATTTGTTAGGATTTAGTATTGTCTTTCGTTTTGATTAAAAGTCTCTAGAGTTTTACTAATCGTTGGCATCACTGCTCCTATCTTTGACATTTGCTAGCCATGAGTTATGTTTGCGACAAAATTGAAATGAAAATGAAAAGAAATGGCTATGTGTAAAATTAAACAAATATAAAAACGCAAGCAAAATTTAAATTTTATTAACTAAAGATATTAGAGACAATTATTTCCAGGATTTTACAATGGTACACGTTATTGTAACCGTCTTACAAGTATATGCCTCAGTTTATATGTTATTGGTGATTCATAGTTTTTCCATGAAAATCGTGTAAATGTAATAGTATATGACTTGGATATAAGTGAATAGATGATTTTTCTGCTGTGATAAACTCTGCTCATTAATTTGCAGAATCCGCCAGAGAATTACAAATTCAGTGAGTTTTGTATGTTTTACAGTATGTCCGTCTACTATATCTCGCAGGATTATGTAAATAGACTGCAAGCCAGAATTTATTGCAGTTAGAAATTATTACTTTAAACAAAAATTGCAAAAAAATAATTGTTAATAAGCCACCCACTATGTTTTCATAGTTTTGGAACAATTGGTTCCTAAATATTCGCTGAATGGACAGGATTTAATCACAGTACAATGCTACTAGGCTTAAGTCCCTAGCTAAGTTAATCAGATCCATGACATCAAAAAGTCAGTGGAATTATTAAAAAATTATTCAATATCCATTTACAATTTACTTTGTAAATGTCATTTGTAAATGTCAGTAAAATTTTTTTAAAACTATTAGATTTCAAGTCGACTAAATCTATCTTAATTTCTCTCAAAAATCGTCATATTTAAACAATTCTTCATTAACGTATGTTAGGTGACTACAGACATTTAAGTCCTGTATTGAGTTGATCTGTATTAAATGATTTATGTTATTTCTAAATGTGTTTATCGGGTATGGGTGAATGGATGGATGCATGAAATTTGAGTATTCTTTGTGAATGAGTGAGTGAACATACCATTGTAAAATTGTTAATATTTCGTTTACGTAAGCGATTTCGTACCTTTGGAGGGCTCACTTCGCGCGTTGATATGCCCATCTTCTCGTGGTGCCGCAGTTGCACTGGATAAATGATTTGGTAATAATGACCACCGATACGGCGTACTAGTTCCTGATTTTGGCGATACTCCTTCAGAAGGCGTTCGACTTCACCTGTAATAAAAACAAAAAATCAAAAATATAGTTGAAAATCAGTCAAATGAGCACAAAGCGTTTTTTATGTATTCAAACAATCTGCTGTGTTTAATTAAAGTTAATATGAAGGTTAAATGAAAAGAACTTGGTATTATCGTCCTTACACATTGGAGTCACTTTGTCGAGTAACTGCGCCCGTGTGCGGTAGAAATTGAAAAGTTTTAAACTATTTTCAGTTTCCTGCCAAACTTTCAATTAAATTAGCAAAAAATTGTTGATGCTGCTAACGTACGAAGTACAGTACAGTTCAGAAATGTATTATCCATCCTTAAATCTGCCCCTGCCTGTTATCCTTGCCTCAGAGCGTACAAGAAACTTTTAATTATTTAATAAAATGTCATTTTGGTTTAAGCTCCTGATCTCCACATTTGAATCATTTGTCGCATGATATACCCCGCTTGGGTGTACTGCCAGAACCGAGTTGCTGGCCCCTCAAATAAAAATTTATTCCTTGTCTGCTGAAGAAGTTTTATTTAAATAAGTTCAAATGCTGCAGAAAAACGGAAATTAGATTTACGTTTCCCATACTAGGTGAGACAGGTAGGTGTGAAGGCGACTGAGGTTATATGAAAAGTATGGAAATACAGAATAGTGAGTGGCTAAAAACGTTGATAGTAAATATGTGGCATGAAAATGTAAAATGGGGTTAAACGTGTTAGGACTGTTATACGTTTGTGTCAGTATAACTCAAGGCTTGCCTTGTGTTCATCAAAAAGAAAATTGATAAAAGTTGTGGAAAAATTGCAAGAGATTTAGTGAAAAACGCAAACCTGAAGGCAAAAACACGTTAAAATAAAAATGCTTTTATATAGTTACGTAGATGCTCTACTGTTTAGTTATCCTAGCAGGTGTAGAGTAAAATGCACAAAAACTATTTTGGCTCACACAGATACACATGTATAAAGTCAGAACACTTTAAAGCGTCGCCTTTATTTTCTGCATCCGACAGTCGATAAAGTAAATTGCCAGTGATAAAATTAGGTTTTGCATCCGATGAAATAACTTAAGGGTATTTCAAACTCGAAAAATGTTCACATCTGAAGCAATTAACCAGCGTATGACACTGTATTTCGAATATTATTGATTAATAATGAAGGCGTACTATAAAAATAAAACTTTATAAAAATCACCAATAAAAGTGAAACTCATACCAAGTGTTTAGCACTTACAGAACAAATCCGTACATTATGCAAAGCAAAAGTGCTTAGCACACATACGACATTTGATTGAAATCTTATTTTGTCGCATATATATGAGGAACATCGAATTTACACCGAGAAACACCGAAGCACGTTCCAATTAGATGCAGCGATTAGCGTTTAATTTGACGAAGGTGGTAAGCCACACTTTACGACCTGAAAACAAACACTCTGTGGCAACGCTGGATATTCTTTTTCAGTGCTGAAGTTTAAATCAACTGCTGTTCGCCATATCTGCTGCCTGCCAATAAATTCATTGCCAGCGGGAACAGGTGATACCTTTGACTTGCGCTAAGTGTGCTACCATGTACAACGCGACAAGTGATAAATGATTCCCATTTCCAAATAAAGCGTAATTCGTAGCGCGTGTTGGTTGCGCAGGTTATACTACCGTCCATGGGGTATCCTGATTAGGTTGTATTTTTTCCTTTAGCCGTAACCCATTGTACCCCGATATAATACCAAAAATTCAAGACTGCTGAAAATCCCAACTTTGCATGTGATGAATATTAATTACTGGCAAAAGGATACAACAACTGGCATTGTGGAAAGTGCTTAAGATCAACAAAATAATATAAGAGAAAAACTTAAAATGCTGATTTCAGTAGCAGCTGTTTTGGAACATGAACTTGTCGAAAAATTCATCTTATTTACTTGTGCGGCTGAGCAGTTTTACTCCATCTTCTAACCATAAATCGATGGGTTTCAATATTTATCAACAAGGCATCGCATATATTTAAAAAATGCTCTTTTTTACCTATTAGTTTGTGTGTTTGCTTTTCTAAAATTAATATCTACTACTCAGTTTCTATTAATCACAGATAAGTCCATTGAAAGATAAAACAAAATTGTTGATTAAATTCTCAGGTCTTGTCCTCGGTCCTTTTATTGCGAAACTTTTTTGTGAAGGTGACTAAAAATATGCCTGCAATGTTTATAAATTTCTACTAATTTTTAAAAAATAAGGAGCAATTTTTACTCTTCTTTGCCCAACAAAAATAAAGCATTTACACTTTTTGCTTTACATTTGTGAAAACATCAGCATAAATCCTTATTACTTCCTACGACATGCTCATCAGCAAGGAGTGACAACTGACAACAAGCTGACGCAGCTACTGCATATTCAGCAGTGGCACTTGCTGCCTGGGAAGGGTTGAAGTCACATTCAACCTGAAATTTTACAGCTCATCAACTCAGGTTGGCAAGGAGTGCCATTGCTGCAATGGCAGCGGCTCCAGTGACAGAAAGACAAACAAAAACTTTGGTAATATTTTAAGATAATCCCTCTCTTTGCATTTGTGATTCTCTTATTGTTTTCGAACAGTTCGTACAAGAGGAGATGCAAGTCGTTAAAAAGTATCTATGCATAGTATCGGTTCAAAGAAGTTTACTTTAGTCACACTTTGGGGAATAAGGTTTGTTACGGTACGGCGTTCGTGCACTGCCTTCTTTTTCTGTCTTACCTGAAATAAAACTTTAACAAATGTCAAAAGCATTTACATTTCGAAAGGCTTTTTAAGTTTACGACCGCATAAAGTGTTTCTGTCTTTAAACGTTAAGTCCAAATTTACGTGAAATATTCAATAAAAATCACATTTGAGATGAGCAGGAATCTTAAACTGAATGATTTTCTCTTCGGAGTAGGTGCTAGTCGAGCTGAATTTTATAAACAGAATTTAATTGTCGAGAACGTCAAAATCTGTGTATACCTAAGTATAAATAAAAAATAGATTTTATTTATATATTTTAATTTATAATTTAATATTATTGTAAGAGCCAATAAATGGATTTAAAATATGTAAAGATATTCTAGTGATGTTGGTGCAAGTGCCTTTCAGCATTTATCTTCCAGTGTTATGATAAATATTGATATTCCAGTGTTCGATGTTGGTATTTATTATATAGTTATATGATACCAAAAATTCACAAATTTGTTAAATTCAGTTAATGTGTTGACATTATGTTTTTCAGAATTTAGGTCACGTTTGACACATCTATTATTATTTTTTGCTTTTACATCAAATTATATTAATTTTTTACTTTCAAAGTTTCAATATGTTTTTATTACCAAATGAAACTCCGTTGTAGAATCTTTGTGGATTTGTAACCGAATTTGTGAAAATTTCATTACTGCAATCTCAAATGAAATGAAGCATTCATGTGCTCCAAAAGATTCTTAAATTTGATTTTATTTTGATTATGGTATGGAAGATTTCATTCTGCATGATTTCATTCATTCTTAACGCATATAACGTAGCCTCTAATAGCACTGAAATTAGTTTATTTTAAGATTTTTGAGAATATTTAAATCAGATCCGGTTAAGCAATACTAGATTCAATATGTGAACTGAAAAGCAAGAAAGTCCTTTGAAATCGTAGAAAGAGAAGGCGATGTTATTTGAATTGTCTGGTACTTTTTTTGCAAAAAACCAAATCTTATGTTAACTCTTCCCGATCGATGGTATCTTTCCAAACATTTTAAACGAAGGGCTTTCTATTTTATATCTCTAACTTGGTTTTATGTTTAGTTAAAGTCCCTCTCTAACAAATGTAATTCTCTGCAATGCAAACTCTGTTCTCCTGCTCGCGCAGATAATTGACATATTTGCTGTTTTGCATTTCTGTCTTATATGGCACTTTTGTTGTCGTTTTACCTTTATCAGTTATCCGGCATTTTGTTTCTTTTATGTGCATTTTTTAGCTGAATTCCATTTTCATTATTATTTTTCTTTCTGCTTCTGCTTTTATGAGTGTTATTGTTTTTGTTTGTTGATGCCTTATGACACAATGACAGACGTGATTATCACGTTTTATGAGTCGTTGAATTGCGCGGCAGCAGCGATAAGTCTAACTGCACTCCCAATCCCAACCCCAAACCCAATTCGATTCCAATGTTTTTTCTCTGTCGTCTCATATTATTTAAAAGCTTGATGTCTGTCTGCCTGTCTACCCGTCTACTCGACTGCTCGTCTGCCCGTCTGTAGGTTCGCTGATGAATATAAAAATATTGCACACTTAAATCTCTGGCATATTTAAGGTTTCTATGTATGTGTGAGCGCTGAGTTATTTGTGCGCAGCGTTGCATTTTTTCACGTGAATCAGCGGTAAAATTTTAAAATAGTTGCGTCATAAAATAACTTGAAAAGTTATTAAAAGTGTTTGTTGTATGTTGCAATATTATTATCATCATTATCATCTCGACAACATAATTATTATCATTCAGGGCGCTAAGCAAGTTCTTGGAGTATTTATTGAGATTATTTTCAAGTACTGCCACTGCTACTGCTGCCAGTGTTGCCACTGCCTACGCTACTTATGCTCCTACTATTTTGATGCTGTTGTTTTGGTTATCCTTGTGCTGCCATTATGGAAAAAACTTTTGTAATTAAAAAGTGTACAAAAGCTTTTGGAAAAGTAGTTTTACTGCTACCGAAATTAATATTTTATAAGCAAAATGTTTCACAAATGTTTCCGGAGTTATCATAATTAAGTTAGACTGCAAAAACGAATTAAAAAGATTTCTTCGTGATATTCGTAGTGAATTTTCTCTTTTTGTTTTTTGTTTTAAGAACAACACATTTAAGGCTTTAAATATGTTGTTCCTTTGTTGTTGCTAGTTTTAGTGTCGTACAAAAACATTGAAAGCAATAACCTCGGGAGGGTAAGGGAGTCTGAAAGGAACCCCAGAACAATATCTAATTAGCAAATATTTTAAAATCTATGATAATAATAAGAGAAACCCATAACCAAGTCGTGATTTTTTTTAAAACTTTGTCCGAATAATCTGCATTTTTAATAAGAAACTATTGGAAATTAAGAAATTGTAAGAAGATAATAAAGTTATCTTCCTCTATCCATAACTTTTGTGTTAAGTTTTTTAATAAACTTTTCAATAAATCAGAAAAGAAAATACTGGGATTTTTCAATAATTTCCACTTTAAAAAGAAAATACTAGAATTTGTCATCTAAATTTAGTTTCACCAAGAAAAAATTCTTAATTACCTTAACAACTTTATATAATTAACTAAACCATTAAACGATCACTATTAAAGAATAATTTAATGCAATAATTTCCTGTTTTACGGATGATATAAAATAGTACAAATTGTTGTGAATTCAGTCTCTATCTACAAGCATCGACCTGACATCATTAATTCTGTATTTTCCACAGCTAAATTAGAGCAAAAGGAAATAAATTATATTGGTAGTTTTAATTTTTATAATGAATTAGATTGAGAGATTGAAAATTAATGCAACGCTCGATTAGAGATTAAAAACTTACAATAAATAATTTCTTCACATTAAATTCTATTTTATCAAATTTAAGATATTTCTGGTTATATATATGCAATTTGCTGTTTAGATGAAGCTGTCAGGCTTGACAAATGTAACTAAGTATCATTCTACCCTCTATTCTGTGTGCACTGAAGATATGCAGCATTCTCTGCACTTGGTACCATATGTAAACAAAAATGACACATAGCAATATAGTAGAGTACAACAAATACACATAATCTTCTACATCTGTGCAAGAAACGACTGCTGTGGATGATTCGTAACAAGATAGAGCTGAAGAAGATGAAGCAAAGTGTGTAGATTTACCATAACTGAAATGCATCGTACCCAATAACAGAAAAGTCTTTGCCCAGCAGCGGAAGCTGTTGCACAAAGTATAATTATAAGAGAAAGGAAAAAAAGGAAAATTGAAAATGGAATTAAAAACTTGAAAAAGCGCAAACACCCTTGAAGCGGCACAACGTGGCAACACTGTGCTCACACGAGATTCTGATGTGCAACGTAATACCCAACAAACACATGCTTTTGGCGTAACATTTGGGGCGTGACACAATTTCACTACTTTCATCTCAACACTTCCTTTGTGATGGTACCCTTCATACAAAACACGAAAACAGTTCAATAAGTTTGACATGGTGTTGATGCGCAGCGATTATCAAATTGGAGGTACCGTAAAGTTTATATTTTGCTTGAGAAGTGCTCTTGTCCAGAATAATACTAATAACGCTTGAATAGTTAATTACTTTAGAATGTGCATTCAATTTCCTCCAACTAATATTGAATGAATGTATATTCTACTTAGTGCAAGTTATACTCATTCAGGACAATACACTCTGGTTACATATATACCAATTCCCAAGACTTTTAGACAGGAATAGCTTTTCATATAGCTATAAATCCTTTCTTAAAACTTTGCAACTATAGTTTTGACATAGGAATGGATAGTTGACTGACAAACGAGAAATATCAGCAGTTAGATAAATGGACAGATATCCATACGGACGATAATGAAAGAATATTTGAATATTTACAAAATCACGAAATTATATGCAATTAGTTCCGCACATATGTAAAAGTAAAAACTGCATGTCTGTCGTATTAAGAGCCTAAGTACGACAATTTAATTACTCAATAGGTATGTTTAATATAAACATTAACACGGTTCGGCTCTATTATTTTCAGCTGCGATAATGAAAACTATTTTCAGGATATCAGCAAAGCAATAACAATCCTTTAGGATTACAGTTGTAATTTGAGTGTATGATATATCAAATTAGAAGCAACTTATTATATTTAAGAATATTCATTGGCTGTGAACCTAAATGGACTTGTATTTAAGGCTCTCGAAACTCAAAATATATATTCCTATGCACTTATGTATTATGTATATTTATTTTCTCTCTATTGTTGTTGTATGGCCGTATTTAAAACTGCTTTCGTTGTTGATATGGAAGCTCTCATTGTATCGTTTATCTGGTGGAGGCCATTTTTAGCATGAAAAGCAAACAGTTTGCATGCTGCTTCAAAAACAAAAATATTTTATTTCAAGTGTTTCAAGGATATTTTTGCGTGAATTTTTATTTGTATTTCCATTTTGAAAAGGCAAGAATTATAAAAGTATGAAATAAAAATAAACAAAATAAAAGTATTTCTGCGTTATTTTTCCACAAGTGCTTTTACTCCCACTCCCCATACACTTCTTCAATATCTGCAAAGCGTGGTTGTAAAAAAATAATAAAAGCTGTTATAAATAAAATAGAAAATATTGCACATAAATAGAAATTCATTGTCCTTGGAAAACATTTATTGTATTCAATTTACTGAAATTGGCCATTTATCCAAGGACACGTGTACGGTCAAATCTCAAAGGCACACTGTGTGCCAGATTATTATCCACCATAATTTGAATATAAAAAAAAATTTGCAAATTAAAATTAAGGCAACTATCCCCACACTTTATCCCAAATATACTTATGCTACTGCATAATTGTCACATTAATACGAAATTCAACTAAGCTTAGCAATGCCAGAGCAAATTGACGGACTAGCAAATATTGCGAAAGAAAATTGGTCTGAAGAACCTCACAAATGGTTTCGCATTTGTGTTTAAATGCTTAAGATTGCTTAGCTGGCATTTACTTAAGCGAATACCACGAAGAGTACTTCAGTTCTATAAAAGTTTCTTCATTATCCTATTTACTATGCACGATCATACACAGCTCCCAGACGTACATGCAACCACGAACCGTTCTGCGTCGAACACGGACGATAACATTTTCTTCTGCCATTATTTATTTTTAATGAGATGCAATCGTGTTTGTCAAACATCATTCATTTACAGTCAATTTAGAACTCAGCCACGGAGTTAGTCTTGTCGTTTAGTGGTTGCAGCGGTGCTAGTCATTGACAGTGGCTTTGGCTTTGGCTTTGGCTTTGGCGCATTCTTTTACATTCCACAGAAGCATCATAGGCGAACGCTGAACGCTGCTTGGATTATATGCCTTAGAAAACATATTTTATCTTTGAAAATTAATCTTAATCTCATTTAGTGCAAGCACATGTACACACTCGTAATGCGCTTCAATCTAATGTAATTTTGTGAGCGGGAGTGTATGCGTGTATGCGTGTACACGTCTATCAATGCTACATAAATTTCATTAATAAGGCAAACACACACCCGCGAATTTCCATTATTATTTTAAGATATGAAATTTCAGTCTCGCTCTTCGCGGCGCGCATCCTTGCCAAGCACACATTAAACACTTAACACAAGTACGTCATTAAACTTGGAGGAACACAAATCAATTAAATTTCAAATGCTGAACGTATTATATTAAAATGTAAATAAACGTAAGATCGGATAAGGACGAGTATTCACGCAAATATATTAAGGCATAAAAGCATAAATACGAATTAAATTAGCAGAGTGCCTTCATGGAGGGATATTTTCTCTAGGATAGAATTTGTCATTTTATTGGATAAATAATATAGAAGCTCAGCAGACTATCATGTCAGTCAATGGAAATATGTTATTAAAACTGCTAAAGCTACTATACTTTCAGAGAAGTAACGCTTCTGAGAGTTACTTGTCTCATATAAAATTTAAATTTAAATAGTTATATTTGCAAAGACTTTCTACCTTATTGGGTTCTAAAGAAAATAAACTATGTTTTCAATATTATGAATAGTTAGAACAATGTCTGCAGAAATAAATTAAATTTTTGCATATAAAACACATCAAAAAAATTCTTTGTCATATTATAAAATTTTTTTCAACAAATTATTAATAAAATTTTACAAATCATTTTTTAAGGCTCCTTAAGTAAATTAGTTTGTTGACTAGTTTTTTGACAACCTGGCTTACACCGATTTGAACTCAGATCATGTAAGAATAGTAAGAAAAGTCGAACAGACTTAATATTTAAACTTCTACATTTAAATATGAATCTTAATCCAACATCGAGGTCGCAAACTTTTTTATCGATAAGAACTCTCCAAAAAAATTACTCTGTTATCCCTAAAGTAACTTGTAATATATTGTAATATATAACTTAATATATAACTTAATTTTTTAATTACTAATAATGGATCACTTAATCATAAATAAATGATAAAAATTATTAAAAGTTATTTTAATTTTAATATCACCCCAATAAAATTAATTAATAAATTTATAATATAAAAAACCAAATTAAATTAAAAATTATTAAATAATTAAGGTTTATAGGGTCTTCTCGTCTTTTGAATATATTTTAGCTTTTTCACTAAAAAATAAAATTCTATGAAAATTTTAAATGAAACAGCTTATATCTCGTCCAACCATTCACTCCAGTCTTTATACACTATACTTTTGAATCTGTCAAGGATTTCAACTACGAGTATCTTAGCACTGTCATAACAAACAACAACGATGTCAGTCTGGAGAAAAGACGAAGAAACACTATTGCCAATAGGTGCCATTTTGGGGTCAGTAAGCAATTATATGGGTTCAGTAAGTTTATATTCTATAGGTTGCTCGTCCTACCTGGAAGCTATCACAGAAAAGTTCTTATTCTGTTGACAGTAAATTATTACAAACTGTGCATAGTTTATATTAAAATGTTCACAATGTATGCTTATACATTATGATAATGATTAGTATTTTTAGTTTCTTTATATTTCCTAAAAAAGAAAAAAAAAATTAAAAAAAATAATTAAAAATAAAAATAATAATAAATACTGTGTCTAACGAGTAATACGCAATCGTACGTAATGCTACGGAATTATATTTGCTGAACTATATTTTAGACCTTTCTAGCTACTGCAGCCAGCGAATGTAGTTCAATCGTTCGTTTGACATAAAATTACTAATGTATAGATAAAGAAATATTTTTAAAATTAAATTTCAAACAAGAACATATTTTTAGTAACTTATAATTATAATTGTGTAAGATGTTAATTTAGAGTACTTTCATTTCATCATCAGTATATGTCACCTTAAATTCGTATAATAAAAAGATTCTTACTATTTTCAGTATCGGCAAGGTACTCATTTATCAAATCCATCTTTGACATATATAGTGAGAATATTTGATGGCATATCTACCAGCGTTAGGTATAATACACTTTGTTGTTGTTTTTTTCCAACAACAATTATTAATTTATTAACATTTATTTATCTTGTATGGATTTATGTAATATATTTGAAGCACTACACAGGAGAACAATTAAGTCATTATGACAAAAGATATGTGAATTATTTGGTGCTTGCGTATGCAGTCTTTAGAACTCTGAACTCTGAAGTGTAATATACGCCAAGTATTCTTATCTAGTAATAAATCTGACATAAAATTGATATTGTTTATTTTGGTTCGTATTCTGACGTAGAAAAGCCGTTTCTTAGACTGACATAAATTGAGGTATAAAGGACGGTTTATAACGCAATTCTTTGTATACAAAAAACTAAAACTAAACTAATTACACATAAGTCTCAAAACAACTAGCAAAAGAGTTAATTAAATATGAAATGCTTTGGGTTGCCAGGGTTTGGGTTGGGCAGATACGTTTAAAGTTTTCCAAAGTAGCTTGTTTGCTGGTCAATATTTGAAGTGGCAATACGCTTTCATAATTTCAATATTAATCAAAATGAATGTTTATTCAGCAACAAACTGAGTAAATACACAATATACTGAAATTAATATTATTTAATATTTGTTGGTAAAATCAAATAAATTTGTATTTGCCCAGCAAATACTCACATCGAACCGAACCATTTTTAAATGTTTCGCTCGTTGCTTAATTTCGAAGCATTTGCATATGCTGCCTTCACTGGACTCTTGGATTGGACTCTTTGCGTTAATAAATCCGAGCTACATTGGGGACTATGCAGCATTCTGCAGTTTGGTCAATGCATGAAGAAGGCACATCAATCCACATTGTATTTGTGAATGTATTTGTGTTACACAAATTCAGAAAATTCTGTCGCTATTTTTTAATAAAAGCGTTGCTCACTTTACTTCCGTTTAAGCTATGTTTTTTCACTACGTAAGCATATACGTAAATATAAAACTAAACGTGAACGTAAACGTGAACGTATCTTATTAATTGGTTTTATTTCTTTTATTTGAATATTTTGCATGTATATTTACTTGTGAATGTGTATGTATATGTGTTTATGTGTTTGTAGTGGTTTTTTTTTGTTTTGTTTGTGTTATTAAAAGTGTTGTTCTTTTATTTGTGAAGTGGTTTCGCAGCGTACATTGACTGCACCAGCAACTTGTACTGTTGCAAGCAAAAACGCTTCTCTTGCTTACATTATTCCTTTAATGGACCGATTTCAGTCGCTTCCCTCCTGCCCGGTCATGCCGTATCTACTTTCATATCGCGATCCAACGAAATGTTCCTGTTTTTGTGCCAATTTGTGCTCTCAGCTGGATTTCATTGCATGAAAATAGCAACGTCAACTTGTTTGCCGATTTCCTACTCTTTAGTGTTGTTTTTGTTTTTGTTTTCTTTATTCCGCATTTGTATTTCGTATTTATTTAGTTTTACATATTTTTATATATTGTATTATGTTCCATCCACATTTGTGTAAATGTGTGTGTGTAAATGTATTTTGCTATGCATTTCGAAACTGTGAGCTTCAATTCTTTCGTGTTGTGTTTGTGCTACTTTTTTTGTTTTTTGCTGTTTTTACGGTTTGCTTTGTCCGAGTGACGTTTGGTTGCGAATCGATTTTTATGTCAACAGAAATCCTGGAATAATCCTATGACTTCAATTTAACTTCTGATGGAGCAACCATTTATTGTTGATGTCGCAGGAATACCAGAACATTTGTGTGTGTTGTTGGCTGTTGGCTGTTGGTTGTGGTTGTGAACGCTTGTAAATACAACGCGACAAATTTATTGGTGCAGGAAATGGTCGGTTTGCTATTATGTTTCATACACGCTAAATATATATACAAAGGACAACAAAAACGCAAAGTAAGTAATAAAAAATGAATATATATAAAAATTGATTTACTATGAAAAAACAACATTTCACATGAAACGCTGCTATTGCATTTTCCATATTGTTTAGTTGCCGTACGACTCAATTTTATTTCTAGTAAATAGTGCTATTATCCTGCATTTTATTTTTTTTAGTTGCTGATTTTGATTGGTATCAAATAAAATAATTTCCGTTGCCTTATTTGAAGTCTTTTAAATTATATTTATGGTCTTTTTCAGTGGACTCAATAATTAGAATTGGAATAAACCAATAGAACGGCTTAGAAGTAATTTATTTTTATATTTATTTGCAGAAATGCACTATATTTTGTGCGACTTTTGGTTTAACAAAAAATTATTATTGTTTCAAAAATTCAGTCATAGAACGGTTTATTAATGAATTAATCAAGTACTAGGAACTATGGTTTCATTGTATTAATAGTTAAAAGCAAAATAAATTGCTCAGAAAGGATCAGTTTTGCTGCTTGTACGTGTCGAATCATAGAAGAGGTAATGACTTACCATGTTTTTAGAAAGAACCAGAAAAACAGATAGAGCTATATTAGAACTATTTACTAAGACCTTAATCGATTTAAGAATTTTATGCAACTAAATACAAACAATTTAAAAACCATTACAGGAGAAATTTAAACTTATAAAACTTGTGACTTTTGTAAGGAGAACAATGTAAACGCAAAACGTCCTACTGTGAGCTTGGAAGACATTTTATATCAGACGAAAAAATAAAACTCGCTTCAACTTGTTGAAAAAATTGAACTTATAAAAATGCTGAGAATTGAACATTTAGTATACCAGATGGATTAAGAAGCTACTTTGGTAAAAAACGGGTGGTTAAGAATATCGGTACAGATAGCTCCTTATTCATAATAAGCAATTCTGTACTTCAATCTTCTATAAACTTAAATAAAGGTCACATATAAATGTTGTGATTTATGTTTCATTATACTATATAATAGCAAAAATTAACTACTGTCAAATAGATATCAGCGAGTGAAGGAGTTCGATCAGAATCGTGTATTGCATGGTTGTACTGATATTTTAAAATTAAAGTTAAAGAATATAGAGAGAAATCTAAAAGATTTTTTCAATTTTGTATGACGTGGCAATCCGTTCTTCTGATCTATTAATTTTGAAGAATTAATTCTTTCTAAAAAAAGGAGTTAGGAGCTATATGTGGATTTTGATATACCATCGATTCAATGCTTTCAATCAATTTTTGACATTTACTACTGTCATCGTCCAGTAAACTGTCATCTGCAAAATTATCGAGCAATTTCATTGCACTTATAAAATCTACTATTTACTAAGGCTGCTTCTTAGAAAAGTAAACAATTCTATTGAACCGTAAGACCCGCTTTTGTTATCAGAATATCATACCTGATACCTGATTTGTTATCGAATCAGGTTTCAAGTGAACTTTCACAATTAATGACATAATGAAAATACTCATCAGTATTGAAAGATGGAAAATTCGTAAAGGTTTTTAATTGAAAGTTGAAAGCGCTGAGTTTATGCAGCAAAACTTTCGTTGGAGATAAGTTGACTGTATGGCACTACTAAAAACTCAAACTTTATACCTTCCAGATTGAACATTGTAGCTGTGGAATAAAAACTTCCGATGGTCGTAGAACTTTGGATTGGCTTTGTTTCGTTCTTATTTGTATTCCACTTCTGCTTCTGCTGGTGTAAGTTTGTGCTACTTGCAACTCAGAATAAACTGAAACTTTACTATTATTATCTTTTTTGTTATGTTTCAATAGTCTTTCATATTTCTCAACTTACAATTTGTGTTGTTTTTAAAGTTCTAATATTGAAAAAATAACAAAGTCGTTTTTATAAAGTTTTGAAGCAGCATTTAATGTCAGTTTACACAAAACATTATTGCGAACCCTTCACTGTAGTGAGCAAGTGAGTCGGCTTACTTAAACATTCCTTGAGAAGATTTTTGGCACTGCAAACTTTCTCTGGAAGAGTGCATGATATATTCACTGCTGTTTTTTATTGCTCTGAGTCGCTTTTTTGTACTTTTGATATTAAATTATATATCTGTTACCATATATCAGCGTTTTATGCACACTCGAATGAAACCGTTAGGTTGTCCTTTTTACTAGCAGTCCAAAGAACAATTTCTGTAGCAAAGAATTATTTATTGACTTCTAAAATTATTTCGAACATTTCATTTCTTCAATCCTAAACAATTCTAACGCTTGACTGCTACCTAATTTTGGTAATTTCTGAGGATAAATTATTTAACATTTATAGCTTATTTGTTAAGTTATCAGTTGATATCCATAAGACATTTTATTTGTACTTTGTCAAAATTTAATCAAGCGAGTCATCATGCTGACAAGCGGATTTAGGCACTCTTGAGTCAAAGGTTCGCTTGTCTTGTTACATTTCATACGAAATGAGTAATTTGGGAAAGGACTTTTGTTTGTTTGCCAAGTGAAGTGTTTAAAATGCGATAAAAATTTACTCCTTTATCAGCCCACTTAAATGATAAACTTGAGCTTAAGTCAGCTTTTATCTTCCAACACAAGGACATTTGACTTCACTTAAGTTGAGCTGCTTGCCGAAGTGCAACTTGCCTCCAACGTTCTGGCTGCCTCCAATGTCTCCATGCCTCCAATGGAGTACAATGTACACGAACATAAGGGACCCTGAAAGTGACAACAACTGAATGCCTTCAGCATCTTCATCTTCTCGTGAATTGTTTACAATTACTTGTTAAGCACCGCAAACAATTTCATGTTTGTGCAAGTGAAATGAATTGAATTCACGCAAACAGAAATTTGAATCCAAAATGGCCAAATGCTATTTGCACTGCAGCTGGAAAATCTGTACAATAATAAAAATATGTCAAGTACATTATTGGGAAATGTGATGAGGAATTTTATTGAAAAATGTCCCTTAAGTTGGCAAATATGAGAAAATATCTCAAATTTGGTCCACAACATTTATATGAGTGAAACTACGTTTCGAGAATAAGTGAATGCGGCACAGGAATGCATAATCCGACGGTGACGGAGCTTTGGTGCCTTTAAGGTTACCTTGGATTTGGACATCAAACGCCTCCAACATGTACCATGTCCAGTTTGTTTGTCAAATTTATACACAGCAAATAAAAGATTCAAGCAATAAGAAGAGAAATTCAGCAGCTTAAGTAAATATTGCAATATTGACTGTAAAAATTGAGTTGCGTTGTTTGCTAAACACAAATTCATTGTATTTTGCAACAGTTCTAGCCTCCGCATCTCGTGTCCACCGCTTAACTGTTTAGCAAATGGTAAGTTCTATTCTCACAGACATTTTTCGTTTTTCACAGACATGGAACATTGGATAAAAAATCTTTTGATTGCGTAAGGACGATGCCCCGAAATAGCAAGCAGACGCTGGGGTCTGTAAGTCCGCCCGTTTTATATCTCTATTGCATCAAAACGTCCTTTTTTTAAAAAATTGTTCACTGTATAAGAAAAAATAAATTTTTTGACGGAGCACTTATCAAATCGAATTGGAACTTGCGAAATTAAAATGCTTCCACACTAAGAAAATAGATTCATTTATGTGTCAAGTTGAAGTAAAGACAAAAGCGAATAAGCAACAAAACAGAGGTCTATAACAAGAAAGAAAAATTCCAACCACTAGATTTTTTTTGCCAAATGGAAATTCTTAATCGAATAGTCGACGTTCTGAAAGCAAAGAATATTTTCTGTCGAGTAATTACCGACATGGTCAATAGCTGTAGCTTCAAAGACCTCTGAATTTTACTCATATCGCGCACTCAAAGAGAATCTAACACGAAGTGCAATCCCTTTTCAAACTGAGGTAGAATTTAAGCACATGAGACAATTACAATTTGTTGAAAGGGTGAAGTCGGTGTAAATATCTTTATATAGTGGTCATATATGTACCCAGTAGGAATAGTAATTTGTTTCATTGAGAAGTTAACACAAAAAAAAGTTTTTTAAGAAATTAAGAGTATAAAAAAGTCATATCTTATAAATGTACTTTGGACAACTAGATACATTCATATTATTCTCATTTTTCTCAAACTAATTGCAATAAGCAATCAAAATATGACAAATTCTTAGAGATTGTTTTTAATGTAAGCTGTCAATGTGTAAGTGCCAGCTTATGACCCATCTTCCCCAAATATACATCAATATAAGTATTAAACAATATAAACATTATTTTTTGTTTTATTAAACTGACAATATAGTTTTCTGACTCAACATAGGTGCATCTGTATTTATAGTTTCTTAGCACAGCCACGGTATCTCAAAACTGTAGTATTCCAATTAGCCCTCTGTAAGCGGCTGTGTGAGTTCCAGTTCTTAAGATACGGACAGTAATTGTAATACACATGTATCGTATACTCCAAAATTTAAGATAGTTTAAGTTAAACTATGTTTGTCTTCAATTTATTAAAGTTTAATTAGAAATACTATTTTTTATTAATAAAATTTTTTTCATTCAGTTGCATTGTTTCTTTGATTAGAGAAAACCGTTTTTCAATTAACAAGACAATAGAATTTTTAGTAAATTCAAACTAAATCTTCTTATGTATCCTTTTCGGAAATTATCTTATCTTTTATCGCAATAGCAAAAACACATTTGAGCATTTCAATGCTGGAAAAGGAACTTTCATTTGTGTAAAGCAGAATAGGAAGTTCAATGCAGCGGAATTCGGAACGAGTGGATTCGTTTTTTCGAATTTCTGTTTCGCAGCACAACTGTGCTCAAATCGAAACTAACTTCATTATTTATATTATTTTGTTATTATTTTGTCACATAAATTGCAATTGTATACATGAAAAATGCATCATTTTATTTAACATTTTATTTTACTGTCAATGTACCCCTGCCACTCCCGCCCGAACGCCAGCCCGCCAGCCCGTCGACCCGCCCATCGCACGCTTTGTGTTGGTTCAACATTTCCGATCATAAAATTCCGACTTGAATATAGCATCGTGAACGAATCTATTTGAAATTCATAGAAATAGAAATTGTTATCATTTTTCTACTCCGACAGCTTCTTTTGCCGTTGCTGTTCTATCCCACCACCTGCTGTTCCTTCCCTAGAACTAGGAGGACTCCTCGGGTGCACATATTTTTATATTCCTTGCTACATTATTCAGAAATTTGCTAAAATTGCTTTTCACGTTGCTGGGTGCTGGCTGCTGGCTGCTGGTTCCTGGTTGCTATTGGTTTCGTGTGATGTGTTGTTGCTGCCATTGCTTCTGCTGCCTCTGTTGCTGCTATGGAGTTGTCAACGTGAGGTATGAGCAACATAATTTCAGTTTTGTGCTGTTTTGCAATTGCAATTTGTACGAATTTTGATGCTCCGCTCGTTAAAGTAGAAAGCCAAAATCTAATTTTTTATAGAATTTTCGCAATTTTTTTGTTTGTTTTCACACTAAATTATTTATTGCATTGAACACATTCAAATATCTTTATGTGTGTGTAGTACATGTGTATTTCGCCATGTAAGCTCGTGTTTCCTACGAAATTTTCCTTATCCTGTTATTTACGAGGAAATAACCAATGAGCCTATATTTTTACATTCTGTTAGCTTTTAGTATCTTTTAGTATATATTTAGCTTTTAGTAGTAGTATTAGTTTGGATTAGGTTATTATGGCAGTCAGGTTGGCAACCTTACTTAGATCCTATAGGTCCATTGGTATATTAGTACTTTAGACGAGGTTTTAACTGCATGTTCAATATTCTGTTAAACAAATTTTAAAAAAATTTTGTGATTATATTTTGAATTTTAACATATGACTTATTAAATTTCATTCAAAATTATGACAAATAACGTAAAAATTAACCATACTATATTAAACGTAGAACCAAATAAGTACAGTAGGTGTTTCATCGGATATGTTCCCTTGCTTTCAGGAAGTGGACTCATATGCTACTTCCAGATTTATTATTAGATCCAAATGAGTGGAAGAAAAGTAGCCCACAGATGTTTCTACTTTTACGCCACTGTTGTGCGACTGCGGTGATGTATTCTTTCATCAAAATGCAAGTATTTACCGGGGATATCCTCTTTTGTTTGCAACTTAATACCTGCTCAGCAATAATAAAGGCATGCCAACATTCGTAAAATCCGAAGCAATAATAAAAGTTAACAATAAAGGCAAACTATTAAAAATGAGCTGAAATGAAAGCATCGTGCGAATCGTGCAAATATGAATGCATTTTACAATTACAGTGTAAGTCCGTAAGCTGAACACTGCGGGGTACAGGAAAAACAAAAGCAATATCGCGAACGTACGAAGCATTAATATTCGCACTTCACCAACAAAGGATTGTTGCCAGATGTTTTTTTTCGCAGATACTACCGTCCACCAAACTAGTTTCGAGCTGTAATTTCATCTGCGCCTCAGGTATGTCTAAAAATAACTTTAAATATAAGAAAATTTAATTTTTAACATTTTAAGACAACTCTCAGGCTGTCCTGCTTCCGATTTTTGAAGATGATATTGGAAATATCTTCTAGCATTTATACGAGATGCCTACGAGCAGTGGCGTGTTCCAACAACGAGCGAATGGATTAAAGTACGAGTATGTGCAAATGAGTCTGCACATCGCTGAAATGCACCTGTGCAGCTATGCAGTTTGCGGGTGCATTTGCTGTGTGGACTCCTTAATGCACGCACGTGAATAATGCAACAATGAAACTGCAAATAATGAACGTAAACAATTCCCTGACCATTATTTACAATTTCGCTTTAAAAGGATACCTCACGCCGTGGATACTGCAGTTTCGCGTAAGGACAATAGAAAAATTCCTTTGTTTTTATTGTTTGATCCGCCAGCAATTCGTATAACTTTTTGTTTGTTTATATGAAGTTATGCGCTGGATGTGTGGGTGTATGACCAGCAACTCCAACAATGCTTTGTTCGAACAATGGAATCCTTTTGTTGCGTTTCAACAGATTTTGTTACACAATTTGCGAATTTCTTAAAAACTGTTAAACCACAGAAATTCTCTAAATCGATTTTCAAATCCAGTAACAGTTTTTTGTTCTAAAAAAGAATGAAGCTATTGTGGAAAAACATTGTTTAATTTAAATATTGTAATAGCTTTTATTTTAACTCATATTTGCATACGTGTTATATCGCGGGAGTGGCCATTGTACAAGGAAGGTGTCCACCGCATCAGATAAAACTTTTCCTTACGATTACTACAGGATGAGAAAAGCAAGGCTTTGTTTCATATATTTCAGATATTTTTGTATGAGTTGTTCTGTGTTTTCATTGAAATTGAGAGCTTAGATTTCCCAAAAAGATATAATACAATTGATGTCCAAGCCCGAGCAACTTTGTCCTCTGTAAAAGTTTTCTTATCCTTTTTGTTTCAAAGCATAGGGCCACATTATTCTTCACAGTTTGTTGGTAAGGTGCTTTTTATTTTCGTATGTATATAACACTACTTATTCTTATTCTAAACTCTTTTATGTTCTTGTATGTGAGAACATGGAGGGGATAACTCTTATTTTATTTGCTACTTCCAAATAATTGAGATACATAAATTGCAATACTGTACTAATATGTGGATAGTTGATATGTATAATAGTATGTTCGAATCATTTTTAATTATCTATATCCCTCTCTGAATGAAGCATGAATTCATTTTTTGATGAATTAATATTATTAATAATTTTCACTGCTCTTATTTTCAATGTTGAGATAAAGATTGCAACAATAAAATTTGTGGACAAATGAAATTCCATTTTGGCTTGGGCTCTCATTGCTTTTACTTTACAGGCAATGAACTAAATCCAATTTACTTTTCATATATAAAAAGGAAAAATGTTTCCCTTACCAACATAGGATGAAGTAGCAAATGCCAGATAAGCTTGACAAAGCATGCATCCAAAACGAGACTTCTAGTTAAAGTCACCATCCTAAAAACAGATACAAGTGCAAGAACTGTTGGGAATAAAAATTAAAACGAAACCAAAAAAAAAATATAAATATCCAATTGCAATTTGAATAAATTTAGAATTTCATTGTTGGCTTTTGCGCAATCCAGAGTGGATGCAGTAAGCACTAAATGTCAATTGCAACAATCCAACAGACATGTCAACATTATCCTTCAGCTGAAGTTAGTAAGACTTAAAAGTGATGAAGTTAAAACTAAATGAAGTCGTATAATTAAAAAAAAATACGTTAAAAATATCAGTTACTTCGGTTTCCACAATGGAACCTAAACCTAAATGAAATGGAGTCCAAATTGTAGATTCCTACTTGCACGGTGTTAAGCAGACATTGGTGCAAATTTTGAGAAGTCGAAGATGGTCTGATTATCCTTATAGAGTTTCAGAAATTTTATGAGTACTACGAAAATTGATTTCTTTAAAAAAATGTATATGCTTCGTTTAATGCACTGCCTGCTTAGTTATTGCAATAATGTGGATATATCTAGTGGTTAAGTTTTGCCCCGAAGTCCAAATATTTTTAAATGGGTCTGCATATTCGTATATTTAGTATAGCGTAAATTTTAAAAAAGTCGAAGTGTGTTTTAATAAATAAAAAAATGTTGTTATAACTAATAAGATGGTTTTACTTGTCCAGAATTCAATTTGAATTAAATATGTTAAACCGGATATGCTACACAAAACCTATAATGGCAATTTATTGTGTCAGATTTCTGAAGGTTTTAAATTTTGAAGTCATTGAAGTAATTATGTGGAACTACAATGCATCTTCAATGGTTTGTTCTGGTGAATTAGAATTTCTCTTGTTGATTTCTGCATTTGAAGCAAATTATTTTCATTTTGATGCTCATCCTAATTTAATTACATTTTTACAAAATTAAATTCGAAATTTTTCATTGTTACGAATTCACACAATTAGTTTTTATGCAAATGAAATCTACAAACAATGACAATTATGGCCACAAGGAAAGCAAACATCTTCCGGGTTCTCCTTGAGGAGCAGTTCGGGCGTAGGACGATGAGTT